GGACGGGCCGGTTCCTCGAGGTCCTGGGGCGTCTGGGCGTGGTGCTGGCACTGACGGTGGTTGACGTCGGCGTTGAGGGCACGCTCGCGACCACTGTCCCACCTGATGGCATTGGTGGCAACGGCTCCGGCTCTTCAGATCCTGGATGGAGGTCCGAGGCGGTCGGTAATCCCCTTTTCTTTCTGAGGTGAATCCACGAGCCGTGCGGGCATCCTGAAGGGCCTTCCTGTGGTCCGAGTAGGTCCCATAAACTCCAAAGCCGTGCTGCCCTTTTCCATGAGGCTTCCCACGGCCCTTTCCTTTTCCTTTTCCCTTCTTCCCTTTGCCCTTTAACTTGGCCTGCCACCTATCAGCAGTCTCGCCGTACACGTAGCTCATCAGATCTCCAGCATACTCCACTGCCTCCGACTCCTCAAGGATAGCCGGAAGTGGCTCCTCCAAGCAGAGGTACACCTCACCATCGGCATCCATCTCCATGAGCTCATCAAACACCGAGGTCTCGGCAACCGCGTCGCCGTAGTACACGTCCATCTCCTCTGGCCATTCATCTGCCTCGTCGTCCTGTTCGTCCCACCAATAAGCCTTCTTGCCGTCGGGAACGGTGTCCAGCGTATCATTGAAGATCTTCCTGATCGCTGTCTCGACGAGGCGGAAGTCGATAGCCCCGTTGGTGAGGACTCGGATTCTTTGCCGCTCATCCTGGCTGAATCCTCCTTGCCGCAGGACCAAATGTCCTAGCAAGTGTTGCCCAGCATCCGAACTCAAGAGGTCCAAGCCCTGCTTCTTGAGCTCCGCGAAGGCTGCTTTCTTTGTTGCCAGAAAGCCTGTCAAGGTTTGCCCGTGCCTCCTCCTGCCGCCGAAGATGGCTGCATTGAAAGCTTGTTCGAGCTTGGCCACCTTCAGGTACTCGTGCGCTTCCTCGATGCAAGACACTACACGCTTCCATCCGTCCGGGGCAGTAATCTCTTCCACGCTCAAATGAGCGAGGACCGAGGAGAGCCGGGACCCATAGGGAATCGAATCCAGGATTCGTTTCCCGATAAGACTTTCGGGCAGCCTTTCCTGAGCTTCAATAAGCCAAAGTCGCAACGTTCGAGCATATTCACGGTACTGTTCCTCCGGCTTCTCGCCATCCCACTTCGGCGCGGCCTCCATCCGATAGTCAGCAAACTTCCGCCCAGCAGGGCCGGCGGGTCCGGCCGAACCATCGAGCCCCTCTGCTCCAAAGGGCGTTCCAGCAGCGGCTGCATCAGTAGGAGAGCGTGGCCGGATAGGAGAGGTCGGTGTCCTCTCCCTGCTTCGAGCTTCTGGTGCCGTAGACATCTCCACAAGGTTGGGCTCCTCTACCTCCACTGGCTCAGCTCCACACGGAAAACTTCCCTGGCAAAAGACCAGGTACTCAAAACTGTCCTCGTCGGCCTCCACGGATGAGGTACCCAAAGTCGCAGCCACGAAGCTGCCCCAAAACCAAAACTCACTTGCTTCACTTCTGAAACCACCAACACACTTTTAAAAGCGCTCGGAGTACTGAACGTCCCCAAGCTATGCCATCTCCGTCCGGAGGCTCGCACCGTCGAGGAACTCAAGGGCCTCGAGTGGTAGGGGCGTCCCCCTACCGGAATCCAGGAGGTATCGGAGCCACAGTCGTCACCGCGGCTCCGCTACCATGTAAAGCGCAGCACACTCCCGGTCACACAAAACGGGCTTTTCCTGTAGCTCAAGGCGCCTGCAGTCGGAGACGGTCAGCTGACGACAAATGAAGTGGTGCACTGCTCTCATGCGGAATCCCCTGCTAAACTGTTCTGGCACACAGACTTGGGCAACGAGTCACTAGTTTCACAATAGGATAGTATAGCATAGCACAGTGAAGTATCGTATAGTAGAGTAGAGTACAGTCGAGTAGCGTAGATAGTAGTAGTAGTAGTAGAAGAGTAGTAGTAGAAGAGTAGTAGTAGTAGTAGTAGTAGTAGTAGTAGTGGTAGTAGTAGTAGTAGTAGTGGTAGTAGTAGTAGAGTAGTAGTAGTAGCAGCAGCAGGAGAAGCAGCAGCAGCAGCACGAGGAGGAGGAGGAGGAGTAGTAGTAGTAGTAGTAGTGGTAGTAGTAGCAGTAGTAGTAGTAGTAGTAGCAGCAGCAGCAGTCGTAGTAGCAGCAGCAGCAGCAGTAGTAATAGTAGAGGAGGTAGTGGTAGAGGTGGAGGTAGTGGCAGTGGTAGCGGTGGTAGTTGTTGTGGTACTGTAGTAAGGGCGCAGGGTTGGTTGGTGACGCTATTGTTTTCTTCATCTGATTGTGTGTTATTTCTCGAGCTTTGAGCTGCTTTTGCTTGTTCCAGGGGGGTCGATGTTTGTTTGTGTTACGATTTGAAGACATGCTGAATGCTGTTTTTTCTCGAGTTTTGGCCTGGGCAAAATTCACGTTTTTGGCGGGTCCTGCTTTTTTCTGCGTTTTGGAGCCTTCCAGTTTCTACGTTTTGGAGTTGGACGCTGTTGTTTCTCGAGTTTTAACATGTGTTGAGGGGGGGCCTGCCTTGTTGTTTGTTCTGCTTTACGTGTTGGTGGTGCTTTATTGTTTTCTGTTGTGGAGTTGTGTTGCTGTGGTACTTGGATGTCGATGATGGTGATGACGATGATGATGTAGCCAACCGTGCGCGTACTACTACGAGGGATTTAAGAAGTGGGTTTGGGGTTTTAGGGTTTTCCCTAAGCCCTAAAGCCCGTGTAGCAAAAACCCATATGACAAACCGCGTTTACCCCCTCCCCACCAGCCCAAGCCGCCCCCCGAAACCAAGCCAAGCCAAGCCATTTTGAATCAGAACTCCCTATCACCGAAAGCCCTCCGGAAACCCTTGTCTAACAGCCTGTCCAACAGCAAAGCCTGCCTAACAGCAAAGCCAAGGCCCGAAGGTTAAGTTGAACGCTCCAACAAGTCCGTAGTAAACAATCAGTTCCAGACAACGTGATCCTTGACCAAATCCGTGAAAAAACATGCCCAAACTCGAGAAATAACAGCATCCAACTCGAAAACGTAGAAAATGGAAGGCTCCAACGCACAGAAAAACGGTATCCACCAAAAACCTGAACTTTGCCCACATCGATCAACTCCAGGCCAAAACTCGAGAAAAAACAGCGTTCAGCATGTCTTCACATCGTAACACGGACAAAACAGAAAAAATGCGACCCCCCTGGAACGACCAAAAACCCCTCAGAACTCGAGATATAACACACCCAAATGAAGCAAAACTTGGCGTCACCTACCAACCCTGTACGTGGTAGTAGTAGTAGTACTAGTCCTAGTGAAGGGGGCACACCTTGGTAGATTGCAACTTGTCTACCGCCGCCGGCTGTTGCTGCGTATCGAGCGACGAGTCCCTGCGTGACTTGTCGCGCCCTTGTTGTAGCGTAGAGCTAGGCTAGCTCAATAGCCTTCAAGGTATCAAACTACTAGCGTTGCCTGTTGCACGCGCAGCCGGCAAGTAGTTTCAGAGCCCTTGCTGCTGACCGCGTGCCCACAGTGCCCTGAGTCCTTGAACTGCCGAGCTTCGCGTGCAGCGCGGAAAACGACAGACCGCTACGCTTGGTGCTTTGGTTTTAACCGGGCACAAACAGATAAGCCCGCACCCTGTTCTGTGACCCCTAAACGGATCTACTAGTTTAACAGGTCGCATCGGAATGACGCTTCCTTCAGTTGGGGGCTGTTCCTGGAAATAGGACAGGATGCTTGTCAGCAGCTAAGGATGCGGCGCCACGTCCGCGATCTCTATCACTGGACGCTGGAGCCCGGCCGCAGTTCCGAGCCCGAGCGTCCCGCTGCGACGTGCGAAGAGCGCGAGCGTATGGCGCCAGAGGCGCGCCAACACCACGTTCTTGAAAGAACTCAAAGCTCGTAGCCTCTCCGTCAAGACCAGCGAGGCAACATAGCTGCACCACCGGATGGAGCCTGCTTTGTACGGCAGCGCTCACTCGCAGGTTGCGTCTGCTTTTGGCGGAGTAGAGCCTCCAATGCGGCAGCCCACTGCGTTGCCTTCGGCTTTTTTGCGCGAGCCTTTGCCGACTTCAGCACGGCGCGCCGCCGCTCCAAACCTCGTGGGTGAGCACCCCGAAGAGGGCGCCACGTTGGCGGAGCTGGAGTCTTCGCTTTTGAACCCTGTTTGATCCCGAGACTGCGCTCGAGGTGTATGAGGAAAGGCTCCGACAAGGGGCCTGTCCAGATTGCAAGGACGAGGCCGTTTCGCGAGCAGAGAGCTGTCTTGAAAAGCACGTATGCGCCCGACTTCTTGCTGGGCGAGACGGCTGCGGGCGTGGGGCCCATCTAGGAGGACAACGCACCGAGAAGTCGCAGTCGAGAGTCGGCTTTGCTGGCCATCGTACAGGAAATGAAACGGCAGCGTGAGTCTTCGACCGAGTCGTGGCGGCTCTGGACGCCTCCTGAGAGTGACGAGGCAAAGGCGATGAAGGCACGTTCAAGGTATGACAATCTCGAGAAGAAGGCCAGTCCCCTCCAGGAGCTCCACGTGAGTTGGTTGGAAGCCCTGCCGGAGCTGAACGCTGCTGGCGTGTACAAAAGCCAGAAGGACCTGCTTTATGACTACTTGCACAAGATCGGGTCATTTCTCCGTGACGAACTGTCTCGAGACCGGCGCTTTTGGCCGTTGCGACCCTCGCCTGCAGTCAAGCAGGACCGCCAGGGATGCTGCCAGATCCACCCGCTTGGCTCATGGCTGTCTGGTATTCATGTTCGTGAGCGGCCGCTTCTACATCCAGCTCGCCTGACGCCTGGGAAGCGCGTCTCCGTCGGGAGACAGTATCCATGGCCAAGTGAGTATGGAAACGTCTTAGTCTCTAAAATTTCTTACAAAACCCTAGCCTAAGAGACCTACGGCTGATAACCTACGTGTGATTCAGAATGATTCAGAGTGATCTTCGATAACAACCCCAAGATTACGACGAACTAAGCTATTGACAGACTCAAGAATCGGGCAACTATTTTCAAGCCGAAAAGACAGCCTCGTACGTCCGCATGGTTCGCCTGCCGGTCGTCCACAGATCCTGCTCAGTACATTTCACGCATTTAAACCTTGAAACGGTTTAAAAGTTGGAGCAGCACTTCTGAAGGTATGAGAAGCAGGGTCACTGCTGCGGTAACTTCAATAAGACACGGAGCTACTTGTTAGGAGCCTGCTAGAACAAAGAACTATTGCAGGCAGCCACACAGACAAATGTTGAAACACAAGGCACCCGCAAAATGTTTGAACATGTTTACACGTGCGAACCCGACATGTTGAAACATGCCGAACTCCGACCTCTGCTTAAACTGTTTAAACGCCTATAATGTCTAAACAAACGTTTACACTCCAAACGTGTTTGGCCCATCCCTGCCCGCCCCCCCCCCCCTGGAACCTTTCAATCTAGCCGCCCCCCACCCTTAAAGCTTCATGCAATCAAGCATAGGCTGGTTTCTGGCCCTGGTCTGCCTCTGCGAAAAGCAAGACTTAACTCGAGTCCTGCTCCGCGAGCTTCCGTGACTAGTCAACTGCTTTCAAACAAGATCTTCGTTTTCAACACTGAGTTAGATGACATTCCCAGGCATAGTCTGGGTATGCTCGGACCTCCTGTACTCAAGGATCTGGCTAAAGAGAGGAGCTGCGAGTACCGCTTGAGGAGGGGACTTGGTACTCAGGCTCCAGGATCCGCTTGAGGCGCCGAACTGCCGAGGCATTCCGGCCTCCGTCTCTTCCGTCTCTTCCCTTCTGCTCTGCACTCTGTCTGGAGTTCACTCCGAGGCACACAGGTCTGTGCGGTGGCCGGGGAGTGCATTCCTGGAGTTCGCTCGCCAAAGGCTCGACATACCGCAGCACTGCCATGCAGCATGGAAAGCATACGAAGACTTCTTCAGCAGGTACTCAGCAACTGTACCCTGCCCAGCGGCTTTCTCGGGAATTGGGCCTGCAGCTAGCAGCTCGTTCAGCCAAAACTGCAATAGTGTCCGGAGCTCACGGCCTGAGAAGGAAAGGGAGATGCCCCCAAAAAGGTTGCGATGCGATTCCAGGTCTCCCTGGCATTGTTTCGAAGAGAGTCCTGCACAACTCCGATTGTCTCAAAAGCTGCGGAGCGCTCTTCGGTCCTGATGAATCATCAAGACTCTGTCGCGGAACAGCTTCCGAATACCTGCCGATCGTCGAGGAGCTGACCAGGCTGCACATGTAGGGACATGCAAGCTGCCTGGGAGGGACGGGCCGAAACGATGGCGCTCTAGAAGCGGATGCTGCGCGCCGTTCCTTGCATTACACAGGGTGTGATCCGATTTGTCTGGCAGCCCTTCAACAACCTTTGCAGCTGGTGCGGATGTTTTCTGGCGTTTGCCTCCCGCACCTCCCCTTCCTCCCTGCTCTTCCAGCTCATTGCGGGCAAACGGCCTGTTGCAGTACCTCCTGACCCCAAAGAATATGACGACAAGAAAGAAAGTCTTTGGAGCCTGAAAACGTCGTCAAAGGGTTTGCTTACTAGTCTCTCGGCTTGAGGGAAGCCAGGTACTGGGAACACAGGTTGTCCAGAATCTGCAGACCAGGCGGTGAAGCTTGCATGGACCCGTCCTGTTCAATCCTGCGTGTCGTGGTGCGATAGCTTTATAAACCTCCGACACTGGGAGCGGCCCATGTGTCGCCGGTGCTCTGTTACAGCCGAGGGGCGGATTGCTCTGGAGCTTTTGCCGGTGCTCCTCGGACTGAAATCCACCATGTAGGTCATCCAACGCCGCTGCCACACTGGTCCAACAGCGCGGTGGCGTCGATGACGGTGACACCTGTTGCAAAGCTATAGTTGCAGCTGTTTCTCCCGACGGACAAGAAGGCAAGCGATCCTTAAGGATTGCCCCAGCCCATGGATGCTTGAACCCTTCCAGTGTGCCCGCATGACCGAATGCACAAGCTGCAAGGACCTCAACTCGCGGCGGACCAATTGTCAGTTCTAATCCAAAAATCGCATCCGGAGTCGCCAAAAAAGGTCGCCACCACCGTTTTTACAGAAGCGATGTGCCTCTCATACCGGTCTACAACAGCACATTGTGAGGACGATAGCGAAGGTTGGGAAGATTGCTGGAGATTGCGGCTCCAATTGCAAACAAGAGGTGTCTGCCAACATGTTGCACGGGTTGTCCAGCGTGGGTGTCAACCGTTCCGGCTGAAAGATGGCCTTGCCTGGATGCCTGATTACTCCATGCTCGCAGAAGTTGAACCAGCTGAAACGAAGTTGCGAGACAAGAGCCCAAGAAGGAAAAGCCTTCGTTCCGTCATCAAGCAGCTTCAATGGACGGTCCGAAAGCCGGTTCTGCCGCACTCCAGCACCAACAAACAACTGCATAACTTAATTGAGAGAACATCGAAGCGCTCGATACCTGCTGTGCGCGCGCTTTGGTGGGCAGTGCCTCCGCCTCGCGTCCCAAGAGTCGACAAGGCTGCAGTGTGTCCACCTTGCGACATCGGCGGCCGGATGATCCGCCAAAACACAAACACGACCCTTGCGCGCTCCACGCGACGAAGCGGAGGACGAGTCTTCTTGGCCGCCAAGAGGCCAAGAAGAAGCGCTCCAGGCGGCCTCGCTCGCGCGTCGCGTGGGAGAGGCTCCGGGCTCGGGTCGGGTCGCGTGGAGGCAGCGCTGGGCGCCCGCGCCCATCGGTTCGCAGAGGATGAGAATCATCCGAAGATGCAGGATTCCTCAGCGAGGATCCCAATGACACGGAGCCGAAGCCTTTGCTGTCACGCCGAGGAGCTTCGAAGCCCGTGCCTGCAAGCTCAGAACGATCCCGCCCAACATGGCGACAGCCCATATTCAGCCGAGAGTGCAACAGGCTCCGTCTTGTGAAGATTCCAGAATGGCGTGAACCCAACAGTCCTGAGATCACAGCTGCACAGTTGACCTTTGTGCATCCTGCCCGCTTCATACATCTCCTCCCGTCTTCCTGTGGCACCAGTGCTGCAGAGACATGCACAGCCAAGCATCGTGCATCCGCATGCTCCGCATGCTCAGCTCGCCGCGAGCGGCAGACCTCTCAAACTTGCCCATAGAAAGCACGTCTGGCGCGGAGAAAATGCGCTTCAACGATGTGTGCCTCCAGCTCCTCCCGGCTCGGAAGACTCCGCTGAAAGAGAAGCAAAGAGTCCTTCTTTCAGGAGCAAGGCATGCGTCGCACGCATCGATTCTGCTCAAAGTCCTCCCCGAAGGGCTTCAAGAAGGCAATCTCTGGGTGCTGGCCCAGATTGTGGTGCAGGGAACTGGTGCCACAGCGGTCGATGCCCGCGATCTCAGCTCCACCCGGTGCTCCGCCCAAGTGTGCTACATCGCCGAGGCACCGTCCACAAAGTCCAGCGGAAGCTCCTCCGGTCACCCAACTCTTGGAGCCGGTGGAGTGCCGAACATAATTGGCCCTGAACTGTCTCGCGATCTCCTGCCAAAGGACAAGCTCGCGAGTTTTGAGCACCGCGTCGGATGGTGCCTCAGCTCTCACTCCCCCCTACTACCTCTTACTACCTCCTGGTGCAGAAACAAAGAAAGAACCGCCTCCAAGCCGAGGGTCACCCAGCCTGATCGTCGTGGTGTTCAAGCCCAGCAGGTGTCCAACAAATTGAGGTACCTTGTGCGAGGTGCAGCGAGATGCTACCGCCGCGCTTTCTCTGGGCGGGGCCCGGGCCACTTCCGACCGCAAGACTTGAGCCGAGCAAGACAGCGGTGCGCAGAGGCCGAAAGGCATCAGTCGGCCCTCGGAGTCCCCAAAAGCTGTGGACTTCTCTATCGGACTTCGATCTTCGAGCCAAGAAGCGAGGGCCTCTCCCTCCTTTCCAGACCCGTAAGTCCAGGTCCAGCTGACAGATGACAGGTACTCGTGCAACTTTAGCCTGACAGAGTAACATACCGGGAATCTTCCTCTGACGCTCCTTGTGCCAGGGGGCTCGATGTCCCAGTAGCGGCCACCACCTCTCGGACACTTAGACTTAGACACCACAGGATTTTTCTTCGCTCATCCGGCCTCGGAGGGATCGGCATCGCAGCAGTTGAGCTTCCGCTGCATCTAGAACCAAGCCGTGCTCCTCCAGCGATGTGGCCTTAGTCGCTGTCTTCCCCACACCGGCAGCACCTCGACCAGGCAACTGGGCACGTAGCCAGGTCGGTTCGCATGTGTGCCCCGCTCTCACGAAGAAAATCCCGGAAGGCAGCACCTGGGTCTTTCGGGCTCGCTCTCTCCTTCACGCAAGTGCGCACGCAGCATCGCATGCAGAACACTTGTAACTTCGGCACCATACTCCGTCGTGCACTGATGCCTCCGCAAGGGAGCATAAATCAGAAGGCAGAGCCTACCACCTACAGGGTGCGACACCTCAAAGCCTCTTTGGCCAGGACGGAAGAGGCAAAGATCAGGCAGAGTCCGGAGCGGCACTGCACACGAGCGCCAGAAAGCATGGGAAGCACATCTTCTCAAGCAGTCATTCCTGTGCAAAGCTTGTAGCACATGTAAAGAACTGTCAGACTACATGGACGATCGCCAAGGACAGTGAGCCACAGGTCTCGCGAGATGTATGCAAGGTCATCACAAGTCCTGAACCGGACTGGCGCAGTCACGTTTACCGAGGGGCCGAGCTCGAGGCAACACGTGCGAACTCTCGCTTGTGGCAGTGGATCCAAGCCAACATCCCCCAACGGTATTCAGATGCGCACGCCAGTTCGCAAAACCTTTCCTCTGTCCTCAAGGCTGTACACATGCACTAGCAGCAAGGCTTTCCACACGAGAGAGCATGCTCAATGCTAGCCACTAGGAAAGGGCAAAACATCTTCTGAGCCCTGCTGCCGTCTTGTGACAAGGAAGAGCGGCCGCCAAATTGCACACTGCTAACACCAACTGTTGTTGGACCTAGGGTTCGCTTTAACGTTCAGCGGAGGTCTGGTTTCGGCTATGCCAAAGGCTGTCACAAGAACCGCCACTCAGCGAATTGGTGGCCAGGCCTGGGCAGCAGAGTCAAAAGACCCACAGCGAGAGACTCAGTCAAATTGGCTCCGGACAAAAAGCCTCACCTGCGGTCACTGTACTTCCAAGCCTTGGCGACCATGACCGGGGAACCTTTTTGTGGAAAGGGAGAAGAAACATGGTTTCAGGCTGCCCAGGTATCATCACCACGACGAATGACGAGACACCCAACCTTGGTAGTTGGGAAGACGGACAAACGGCCAGGACATGCTGTGGGACATCTCAGCGCGGCCTGCCGTGGAGTGCATTGCCCCAAAAGAAGGCTTTGCGCTTTGCTCCACGCCATGAGCGCCTAAAGCACAGCACTTTCGATCTGACACGTGCACTTGAGCCATCTGTACGTCTCTCTGGATCATGCCTCACCATCCGGCGAGGCAATTCATTTACAGCAGACAGGGTCGTAACCTCCGCACTCAGGCATGCAACCTGTAAGGAAACTACGGCTGAAACACATCTGGGCTGACAGCTCAACCACATAGAGGCCAATGCCAATGGCGAGAGACCGTGCCCTGCACTAAAACACGTGGAACGGCAAAGTCTCATCCCGATGTTGCACCTGTGGCAAGGGTCCCATAGGCTGCCAGCCTGGGATGTCAGAAAACGACAGAACAACGGACCGGAGGACGCCCATTAAGCCCCGTGCTTCGACGAAGGCTGACGAGGGCACCTTGAGAGCTTCAATCGCTGTCTTGGCACCTGCAAGGCCGCCAGCGATGACTATGTCATGCAAAGCAGATGTCACACCGGGCGCTCCACTCCAATTCGCACTGGAGATAGTCGTGGTCCTTCAGATGCCCATCAGCTCTCTATGGTGCCCCGCATCGGACATGTAGTTCTAGACCGACAAGTCCTCTGCCGATGTGGAGCACTCGGATGTCCCACTGCATGTGTAGTCCGAGGATGTCACTGGGTTTCCTGCGACAAGCTCCGAAGATCTCCGACCCCGCGTCCCGGATTCCTTGCCTCGAAAGGGGGCCGGAGGCCCCAAGTCGAACTCCAGCAACAGCCTCAACGCAACCGGCCCGATCGGAGATTCGTAGAAGCCAGGACTTGGAGCCCCGACGCTGCGTCGTTCAACAGGGGACACTTCCGTACAGAGATGACCTGCGCAAGCTTAAAGGAATGGAGCGCAGAACTTCTTCACGCGGCAGGTGCCTGGAATCCGAGTCTGAGCAATGAGCAAGCCAAGCCTTCACCTGCAAAGGACACGTGCAGCGCTTCCACAAACGCAGGGGAGCATCCTCAGGCGTCCACAGCTCGCATGTTCTGGACTAAGGCCAATGATGATCTTGCAGGTGCTGCAAGCCTGCAACATGCGATGGACAGAAGACCCGGCCAGGTGCTTCAAAAAGCGAGGCTTCAATACAATGAAAACGAGCGGAAAATCCTGCCAGGAGGTGGCTCTGTCCCCGATCAATCCGCACTCCGCGAACAGCGAGCAGTCATGCCTCTGCCAAATCCAGGAGCGTCCGGATGGCACTCATCGTTGCGTCTGTGGTACCTCCCCCGAGGAATCCAGAATTCGAAGCATGAAACCTGAAAAATCCAAACCAATTAGGACTCCACTCGATCCCAAGCCCTCCAGTTGCCGAGGTCGGAGGAAGGTGCTGAAGCAGGAAGCCACCGGCCTGGTTCCTCACCCTCTGAGCAGATGAGATTCGCATAAAGCAAGCTGCTTGCCACATCGCGGAGGCAGTCCTTGGTGACCAACCGCAACCATTGCAAGGACCCTGTGATACGATGGATGGCTGAGCTCGGAGGCAAAACCAACTCCAGCGCTTACAGAGCCCTGCAAAGTGCTGAAGTCAAACTCACACTTCGTCCATGTGAAAAGAAGAAAGCCCTTGCCTTTTCAAACGACCAAAGCCTCACAGGTGTGGCTCGGAGTCCGAGCCGCTCTGGTAGTCTGAGGTCCCCTCCCCCACGCCTTGGAGGGGCCGGGTTCCGTGATGGTATAGCTGATCAGACAACTAACCTACTCACGTCACTTACATCTACACATTCAGTCTTCGTACTTGCCACACTGACATGTAAACGCACATGACTTGTATCCGTGCCTGGTAGGTTTGGATACCTGTATACTGAAGCTGCCAAGTTTTCTACAGTAGTCTGGGGCTTCATCCATCCATACAAAACGAGCTCAATAAGAGATGTGATACCGGGTCTGCACAGTGAAGCAGACGGCGCATCGCGTCTACAGCATGTGTCCTTGGACACATAGTCACTCATAGTAAGACCTTTCGGAGAGACTTCGCATCCCCTGAGAGGAAACCAAACCAACCTGGAGGAAGGACTCCAAACTTGCCTCCTGTACACTTCGCCGCTTCAACTCATAAACATCAGGCCGCAGGGGGTCGGCCTCCACGCTGTCGATTTCACTTCACTATTGTTTGGCTCCCTGTGAACATCTTTCCCGTGCCTGCGCATGCAACTACGTACAGCTGCATAGCAATGCTTACATGCATCTCATTCCAAATTGATTTATTCCAGTTCTGTTCCTATTGAGCCTTTGTTTGCCATACCGAATCTTCCCAGATTCGAATTGCATAACATTTATATATATATATACTTATCTATTTATTTATTTGTTTATTTATTTCTACACACACACACTAATATGTGTGTGTATGTGTGTGTGTGTATATATATATATATCTATGTATACATGTGCATACGCCTGTGCGTATATACACATACAGGCAAGGTGGGAGCTGCATGTGGAGGTGCGGGTGCTGCTGGGCCGGGATCTTACGCAAACCCTACGCAAGCCATACACCCTACAATGTAGCGTGTGCTCAACCTGTACTTAAACCTTACACCCAACTCAAAAACCCGCCAAAATGGAGGCTCTAAGCCTGAAGCATAACATAAACCGTCAACCCTACCGAGCCTGTACCCCAAACCCTCCCTAAGCCCTTAACCACCCCACAGAGGGGTGGAAGAGGGACCCCACACCCCACCCCACAGGGGGGGCATCCTGGACCATCGGGGCGGGGAAGGGCGGGGGCCGCGGAGCGCGTGATATTCATATTATATACTTATATTTATATTTATATTCATATTTATATTTATATTTAAATATGTGTCTATATATAAATGTAGATAGAAAAAGAATATATATATATATGCATGGCTGCATATATAATTATATATATATATATGGTAACCCC